AAAAAAAAAAAAAAAAAGAAAAGAAAGGAGGCTTGATGAGAGCAAGAACACCTTAAGTCCTGACAACTGTCATCCTAGGTTCCTATTCACCTCCCGGACCAACATGGCATGCATGAGTTGAGGACGGGAGCAACGTTGGACAAATTTCATAATCAGGATGGAACCTGAGAAAGCATCCATGTTCTTCACCAGTCAAAAGAAAATGTGAGCTCTCTGGGCTTGGACCTAGTTGGCAGCGATATGGCTAAATGCACCAAGATGGTCGGCATCGTCGGTAAATACGGGATCCATTATGGTGCCTCCCTCTGGAAAATGGTGAAGAAAACTGAAATCAGCCAGCATGCCTAGTACACTTGCTCTGTCTGTGATAAAACTAAGAAGAAGAGACGGGCTGTGGGGATCTGGCGCTGTGGTTCCTGCATGAAAACGGGAGTCGGTGGTACCTGGACCTACACCACAGCTTCGGCTGTCACAGTAAAGTCTGCCAGCAGAAGACTGAAAGACCAGTAGAAGCTCCATAGACATTCGGAATATCAGTAGCCTACAATAAGTGAATTAATTTATGTACCCCCCCCCAAAAAAAAGAAAAAAAATGTGAGGGAGGAATTTATACTATTTTCTCTCCAGTATAAGAAAACTGAAACGCTGGCTACTGAGCCATTAAGAAAACACAGATAGTGCCTATTTGTGACTCTCCACTACAGGCAGATGCCAGTCAGAGCTCTGGGCGTGGTGGCCATACTAGTTGAGGGAGGCCTTGCCAGCACTGGTTACACTGGCATGTGAAGACTAATCCCCCAGCCCTTAGCCCTGGGATCTTTTTTTTTTTTGGACAGGTTTTCACTATAGGGCACGTGCGCTTGCCAGACAGAGAGAGACAGAGAGACAGAAAGCGAGAAATCACCCCCCAGGGGGGATGGCCACGCTGCATCCCTTCTCCTCCATTCTCCTCTCGGGATCTTGGGCACGCACGCACACGCGCCCGGCGTGAGTTTTAAGCCACCAGGTCCCAGACGCGAACTGCAGTCGACTACGTGGGAGTCCAGTGACATAGCCATTACGCTAACTGCTGGTCCCCAGCCCTGGGATCTTCTGTTACACTGCAGTCATGGCTTTTCAGCCCTGTCTGTTGCACAGCCCCTGGTGATGCTCTGAAGCATGCTTCCCCACCGTCAGGCTAACCAGAAACCAGTTTTTAAGCTAGCCTGATAGACTCTGGTCATAAGTGAACATGGAACTAGCTGTGACTTCTCATAAGGTCTCTGGCTTGAGATTTCCTTGGACCTATAACCCATCCAGGCTGAGGCCAGCTTGAGTTCTGAGGCTGAGGCTATACCTACCATATGGTATGGGTCCTAAGGATTCTATAACCAAGTTTTCTTCAGGGATTCAATCCCAATTTTCAACAATATATTTTATATCACTCTACCCCCCCTCCCCTCCCCAGTTTGTTCTAGAAGTCTAAAAGGACCAATGTCAGCAGCTAATCTTTTTTTTTTTTTTGAGAGGTTTTTGCTATAGGGAGTGTGTGCTCACCAGAAGGACAGAGACAGAAAGGGAGAAATCACCCCCCCCCCGGGGGGGGGGGGGACCCCCCCCCGGGGTGGGGGGATGGCCACATCGCAAGCCCTTCTCCTCCATTCTCCTCTTGGGATCTTGGGCATGCATGTACTCAGGCCCAGAGTGAGTTTAAGCTGCCGAGTCTGGGACTCAAACCATGGTTGTCTATGTGGGAATCCAGCGATATAGCTATTACGCCATCTGCTGGTCCCCAACAGCTAATCTTTTCATTCTCATCCTATTATCTTTCAATGCCACCTCAAGGCTATTCTCTCAATTATCTATCGTTCCCTATTCTGTCTCAACCCTTTTGTTGGTTTACATTTCCTTTTCCTGGTATCATCATCACACTCTTCCTTCTACCCACTGTATAATAAAGAGCTCCTCTATATGACAATAACCTCAGCCTTACTCTCTCTCTTTTTTTGAGAGAGAGACTTTTAACATAGGACGTGTGCACTTACCTGAGAAACAGAGAGACAGAAAGTGAGAAATCACCCTCCAGGAGGGATGGCCATGCCACAATCCCTTCTCTATTCTCCTGTCGGGAATTTGGGCACGCACGTACATGCTCCTGGGGTTGAGTTTTTAGTCACCAGGTCCAGGACTTGAACTGCAGTCAATTATGTGGGAGTCCAGCGATGTAACCATTATGCCACCTGCTGGTCCCACATTAGCCTCTTTACTGTCCTCTCTCTACCTTCACTAAGACCTGGCCTGTTTTTTTTTTTTTTTTTGAGCCCTGGGCTTTTTTTTTTTTTTTTTTTTTTGAGAGGTTTTCGCTATAGGGCGTGTGTGCTCACCAGACAGACAGAGAGAGACAGAGAGATAGAAAGCGAGAAATCACCCCCTGGGGGGGTGGTCATGCTGCAATCCCTTCTCCTCCATTCTCCTCTTAGGATCTTGGGCATGCACACACACGCGCCCGGCGTGAGTTTTAAGCCACCAGGTCAGGGACGCGAACCACAGTCGACTACATGGGAATCCAGCGACATAGCCATTACGCTAACTGCTGGTTCCCAGACCTGGCCTGTTTTTGAGAGTACTGTTTCATCTTCAAGGGATGCTATTAATTCTCTATCTCACAAACTACGGGGTTAAAGGGGTTAGCAAGATTCCTCATTAATGCTGTTTCCAAACAATTCTCTCTCATAGACATTCCTTCCTCAAGGCTTTGTCACCTGGCAACTCCAAACTCTGTTCCTTCACCTTCTCAGAAAGCCCCCTCTGGGTGCCTATGTTTACCCCATCAAAATAACAACTACACAGTATTAATCTTATTTATGAAGTAACTACTATAGATATTCCCACACTGAATGGAATAGGAGGAAGCTACTGAACCCACAGTTCAGAAGTTCATCTTCCTGGAGAAGTTCATGTTAGCCTTTCCTTGGAGCAACAAAGGCCCTGCCTCTGTGGACCAGGTCCTCTGCTTTCCCTCTGGCTGCACCTAGGTATCCCAGTGATCTCCCCTGACAATGCCAGGTCTTGTTCAACTTTGGGAATGAGAGGGATTCTGAACAAGTTAATGTGTATCTAATGAAGAAACAAGAGAAAAGAGTCAGTCTGTTTCTAGGGTAAGAGCTCCTATAATTCTTCTACAGAACTATCTTCTCACCTGCCTGTTTGCTTCCATGTAGAGGCCCAGTGTGCTCACTCGAGTGCAGACACCCTCCTTCATGATGTGGACGTAGCAGCGTACTTGGGACAAGTCTTCTCTCCTGCCCCCTCGACAGGCATTCCAGCAGGCATCATATGGAGCCAAGGTCAGTGTGTTGGTTTCTTTTATAAAACTATAAATATCTTCGGAACAAACACCCAAACCAATTAAGTAAATGAGAGAGATGACAGAGCAGAGATAGATGGAGTTTTGTTTTAAGAATTATTTTATTTTATTAATTTATCTTTTTTTTCTTAGATTAACCTGAGACAGAAAGTGAGAAAGCAAGCCACCAGGTCCATGATTAGAACCACAGTCAGCCATGTGGGAGTCCAGTGCCTTAACCACCACACCACCTGCCAGCCCCAGACTCAGGTGAGTTTTAAAAGACAGTGTACAGCGCATATTTCTCCCTCTGGGACTCAACCATGAAGCACAGATCCTGGGGAAATCCCACTAAAACCTGAAAGACTAAGTCAAATCAAGAGGCAATGTCCTTCCCTGTACCTCTGAAATATCATATGATAGAAAATGCTTAATAAGAGGTTCTAAAAGCAAGTTTGACTAATAATCAAGTACCACTGGGGAAAATAAATAGATGACCTTGTAAATCATGTCATAACACAAGCAGGAGGCCAGGCTTTAGGGACCAGCAATACTGGTTCTGTGCTCCTCGACTCTATGACCATATTGGGTAGCTGTGCTATGACAGAAAGAGCATATAACTTGGAGCCCAAGTACCTAGGCTGCAGCTTTTCTTTCTTTCTTTTTTAAGAATTATTTATTTACTTCCATTTATTATTATTAGTTTTAAATTTGACCATTGAGAGAGAGAGAGAAAGGGAAAGCAAGAAAGCAAGCCACTAGGTCCAGAACTCAAACCACGGTTGGCCATGTGGGAATCCAGTATTTTTAACCATTATGCCACCTGCTGGCCCTGAGGCTCCAGTTTTTCAATTCTCACAATAACCTTTTTATATCATGATAAGAAAAACGGGAGGATGATGGCATGGTGTTAAGGGTGCTAGACTCCCATGCGGCCAATCGTGGTTCAAGTCATGGACCTGGTGGCTCGCTTTCTCACTTTCCCTCTCTCTTCTCTCTCTCACTCTGTTCCTCTCTGGTCAAATTAAAATAATAAAATGTATTGAAAAAAAAAAAGGAAAGAAAAATGGAGCCCCAGAGACTGAATACCTGCTTCAGGTCACAGAGCTAAGGGGCAGAGTCAGATTTCAAACCCAAGTCTATTTGATCCCTAGTCCTATGACCTTACCCATCATGTCATACTATCTCTGTTTATTCACTTGGTAAGTATTTTTTCAGGATATCTACTACGAGCTGAGAACTAGGCCAGGGACTAAGGATATGACAGCAAATAAGACAGATCTCATCTCTAGGTCCTGAGTGGAGACAACATGGTTAGCCTCTGGTAGGACTGTAATGAATACTCCTTCATCTCTCTTCTCTTGACAAAAGAGGCTGGTTTTTATCAGAAGTAGGGCTGCCCAAAGGCTAGAGAACAGAAGTGCTGAGAAGGGGCAGGCAGTGTTTAAAAGGCAAAATAGTTCAGTGAGGAACGTAGCCAAACCAGAGTGGGGCTGGAGGCATGATTAACATGTCTCTAAAGAGCATGGTGACAGGACAGCACCAGGACGGCTCGTGTTCATCTGTGGAGAGCTCTCTCATCTTGCTTGGCTGCGGGAAATCGGGCTGAAGTGACTGAGCCCACGATGGAGAAAGAAAAGGAACAGTTCCATAAACTCTTTATTGGTGGCTTAAGTTTTGAAACTACAGAAGAAAGTTTGAGGAACTCCTATAAGAAATGGGGAAAGCTGGGAACCAGCAGTTAGCGTAATGGCTATGTCACTGGACTCCCACGTAGTTGACTGCGGTTCACGTCCTGGACCTGGTGGCTTAAAACTCACGCCGGGTGCGGGTGTGTGCATACCCAAGATCCCAAGAAGAGAATGGAGGAGAAGGGATTGCGGCGTGACCATCCCCTCTGGGGGGGGTGATTTCTCGTTTTCTGTCTCTATGTCTCTCTCTGTCTGTCTGGCGAGCGCACGCACCCTATAGCGAAAATCTCTCTCTCAAAAAAAAAAATAAAGAAAGAAATGGGGAAAGCTTACAGACTGTGTGGTAATGAGGGATCCTGCAAGCAAAAGAGCAGAGGATTTGGTTTTGTGACTTTCTCATCCACGGCTGAGGTTGATGCTGCCATGGCTGCAAGACCTCATTCAATTGATGGGAGAGTTGTTGAGCCCAAACATGCTGTGGCTAGAGAGGAGTCTGGAAAACCAGGGGCTCATGTAACTGTGAAGAAGCTGTTTGTTGGTAGAATTAAAGAAGATACTGAGGAACATCACCTTAGAGATTATTTTGAGGACTATGGAAAGATTGATATAATTGAAATAATTACTGATAGGCAATCTGGAAAGAAAAGAGGCTTTGGCTTTGTTACTTTTGATGACCATGATCCTGTGGATAAAACTGTTTTGCAGAAATACCATACTATCAGTGGACATAATGCAGACATAAGAAAGGCTTTGTTTAGACAAAAAATGCAGGAAGTCCAAAGTTCTAGGAGTGGGAGAGGAGGCAATTTCGGTTTCAGAAATTAACATGGTGGTGGAAATTTTGGACCAGGACCAGGAAGTAACTTTAGAGGAGGACCTGATGGGTATGGAAAGTGGACGTCAATTTGGGGATGGCTATAGTGGGTATGGAGGCAGACCTGGAAGTGGCAATTTTGGAGGTAGCTCTGGTTATGGAAGAGGAAAAGGAGGATATAGTGGTGGAGGACCTGGATATGGCAACCAGGGTGGGGGCTACGGAGGTGGTTATGACAGCTATAGAAGAGGAAATTATGGAAGTGGAAATTACAATGATCTTGGAAACTATAACCAGCAACCTTCTAACTATGGTCCAATGAAGAGTGGAAACTTTGGTCATAGCAAGAACATGGGGGGACCATATGGTGGAGAAACTACAGTCCAGGAGGCAGTGGAGGAAGGGGGGGTTGTGGAGGAAGGGGGGGTTATGGTGGGAGGAGCAGATATTGAGCTTCCTCCTCTTTGCCATGGGTTTCACTGTATAAATAGTAGAGGATGAGAGCCCAGAGGTAAGGAAGTAGATTCAGGTTATGGAAATAACAATGTTATGGAAACTTATCTCAGTCATGCATAAATATGCAGTGATATGGCAGAAGACACCAGAGCAGATGCAGAGAGCCATGTTGTGAATGGATTGGATTATTTAATAACACCTTACTGTGGAGGAAGGACTGTAAAAAAAAAAATGCCTTTGAGACAGTTTCTTAGCTTTTTAATTGTTGTTTCTTTCTAGTGGTCTTTGTAAGAGTGTAGAAGCATTCCTTCATTGATAATGTTAAATTTGTAAGTTTCAGATGACATCTGAAAACTTTTTAAAGATTTTCCTCAAAGTTTTGAAAAGCTATTAGCCAGGATCATGGTATAACAAGACATGTTTTCCCTTTAAACAATTAAAGTGCATATGTAGAGATAAGAAGCTGCTGTACATTTATGATTTAATAAAACAATTCTAAAGGAAAGAAAAGAACATGGTGACAGGATCTGCCTAAGCAAGAGCACCCAGAGCTCAGGGCGAGGGGTCAGCTTCCCTCTCATGCCCTGTAGATTAGAATCAAGACAGGCATCCTGGGCTGGACTAGGCTGCCCAGCCAGTTCGCTCCAAAGATGCTGCTACCTCTGCCCCATACTGTACCAACCCAAGCACTGACCTAGGGACTTCAGTTCCTTTTTCTTTAGATCCTCTTCTTTATCTTCTTGTCCCTGTTGTGAGGAAGCTGTAGAAAACTGTTTTCTCACTAGGTATGGAATCAGTTCACTCCGGATAGAAGTGATTGACCTAGGAAGAAAGAATGGCTAAATATGAGAAACCTGACTACCTGGATCCTATGAGATCAAAAACAATGCTAAGTTCCTTCCTCTCGTAACACCTTGGGACCGACACAGATCAAATGCAGCATGAATTGGGCAGTTCTGGAGAAGCAAAGGATGTGAGTTCTCCTTATGAGTCTCAGGCTGAGGGTTGGCGGGTAGCATACTGATTCTGAGAATTCCTCCCCCTGGTCAAGCCAGAAAATAGTCTTTCATAAAAGTTCCATCTACATGTTGTGTACACACACATTTATGTCAGTCTGTCTGTATTTTAACAAGAGTCCCTGACTCTTGGGAACCAGCAGTTAGCGTGATGGCTATGTCGCTGGACTCCCAAATAGTCGACCGCGGTTTGCGTTCTGGACCCAGTGGCTTAAAACTCACGCCGGGCGCGTGTGCGTGTGTGCCCAAGATCCCGAGAAGAGAATGGAGGAGAAGGCATTGCGGCGTGACCATCCCCCCTGGGGGGTGATTTCTCGCTTTCTGTCTCTATGTCTCTCTCTGTCTGTCTGGCGAGCACACGCACCCTGTAAGCAAAAAACCTCTCAAAAAAAAAAAAAAAAAAAAAAAAAAGAGTCCCTGACTCTTCACTGGGAATAAACTATGAGAATGTAGAATATTCTGGTCTTTTAAAGAATGTTGTTTCAAAAAGATTTACAAATTTTCTCCATAAACAGTTTTCATACCTTTTATCATATTAATTCTTTTTTTTGGAGAGATTTTCGCTATAGGGCGCGTGCGCTCGCCAGACAGACAGAGACATTAGAGACAGAAAGCGAGAAATCACCCCCCAGGGGGGATGGTCACGCTGCAATCCCTTCTCCTCCATTCTCCTCTCGGGATCTTGGGCACACACGCACACGCGCCTGGCGTGAGTTTTAAGCCACCGGGTCCAGGATACGAACCACGGTCGACTACATGGGAGTCCAGCAATATAACCATTACGCTAACTGCTGGTTCCCCTATCATATTAATTCTAAATTTCCTATTTTTATTGGTATTATAAATGGTGTCTTTTAAACAATTTTCTTCTTGTTGGTTTATAAAAATTCAATTTGCTTTGTATTCTGATTTTACAGCTAATGCCTTGCTGAACAATCTTATGAATTCTACAAATTTATTTGTACATTCTGATAATCACGTTATTATTAAACAACAATTTCTTTTTCTTTCTAATCCCTGCACCTTTTAATTTTACCCATTTTCATAATTTTACATTACCAGCTAAGAACTTTAATACAATGCTAAATAGAAATGCTGATGTCAATCATTCTCATTTGTTTATGTTTTTTTTTTAATTTAGTAAAGGGTGTGTATACTTGTCAGACAGAGACAGAGAGAGGCAGAGAAAGCACCTGTCCAGTGGGGCATGGTCACACTGCAATTCCTTCTCCTCCACTTCTCTTCCTTGTCAGGACTTTGGGCACACATCCCTATGCACCCAGGGTGTTCTTTTTTTGAGAGGCTTTCGCTATAGGGCGCGTGCGCGTGCCAGACAGACAGAGACACAGAGAGACAGAAAGCGAGAAATCCCCCCCCAGGGAGGATGGTCACGCCGCAATCCCTTCTCCTCCATTCTCCTCTCGGGATTTTGGGCACGCACGCACATGCGCCCAGTGTGAGTTTTAAGCCATCAGGTCCGGGACGCGAACCGCAGTCGACAACATGGGAGTCCAGCGACATAGCCATTACGCTAACTGCTGGTTCCCCCCAGGGTGTTCTTCAAGCCACTGGCCCAGCATTCAAACTGTGGCTGGCCATATGGAACCTGGCTCTCTTAACCACTAAGCCACAAAGTCAGTTCAGTTCCTGATTTTAAAGGGAATTCTATTCCTTCTATAATTTTATTATTTACAATGATGATTATTATAGATTTTTTTTTGTAGATACCTTTCATCAGGTTAAGGAAGTTCCTTTTTTTAATTTTAAGTTTATTGCCAGAGAGCATGTATGGATTTTAAGACCAGAGAAAGTGAGAGAAAAAAACTTCCAATTCTTTTTCCTCGATTTCTTTTCTTTCTGAGAGAGATTTTTGCTATAAGGCACATGCACTCGCCGGACAGACAGACAGAGATGAGAGACAGAAAGTGAGAAATCAGTGCCCGGGAGGATGGCCACACCACAATCCCTTCTCCTCCAATCTCCTCTCGGGATTTTGGGCACACGCGCACATGTGCCCAGCGTTTTTGTTTGTTTGTTTTATTTTTAAAAGGCATTGACCAGAGAGAGACAGAGAGAAGGAAAGTGAGAAAGCAAGCTGCCAGGTCCAGGACTCGAACCACGGTCAGTCAAGTGGGAGTCCAGCCACCTTAACCACCACACCGTGACCTGCTGGTCCGCCCAGCATGAGTGTTAAGCCACGGAGTCTGGGACTCAAATTGCGATTGACTACATGGGAGTCCAGCAACATAACCAGTACTCCATCTGCTGGTCCCTTTTCTCCATTTCTTTATCCCGTCAGGATATGGGGCATGCATGTGCCAGCACCCAGTATTCCAACCATGATTAGCAATGGGGGATTCAGTTCCCCATGTATAGTGCTTAACTGCTGCCCTATTGTGGCTGGCCCAGGAAGTTCTTTTTTGTGTCTAACTTGTTAAGGCCTTTTTATCAATGAATGAGTACTAAGTTTTATTAAAAATTTTTATTTTGCATCTATGAAACTCTTCTATTTTTTTCTCCTTTAATCTGTTATGGTGATGAATTATATATTTAAAAATGTTTCAATGCCAGCAGCTGTACTAGACAATGTCTGTGTATAGGATTTCTGTTCTATGTTCCCGCACAGTCGTGGAGTTACTGGTGATTTTGTTCTTTTTCAAATGATCAAATTTTATGATTTTTAGTCCTTTTTCCCCTTTAATTCATGATAGAGTATATGCACACACATGTGACAGGGAGAGAAACAGTGAGAAAGAGAGAAGGAGAGAAAGGGAGATGAGCACTCTCCACAGGGTCTGGTCACGCCACAGTCCCCTTCCTCTTGCCCATTGCATTTGGGCACTTGTGCATGTGCCCAGTGTGTTTCAGGCTGACGGAGCCAGAGACTCAAATTGCAGTCACCATGGGACATATCTGCCCCCATCTTTTATTTTTATTTTTTGCCAGAGGGCATGTGGGCTCGCCAGACAGAGCGAAGGAAAGAAACAAAGTACCCCCAGTGGGGCATAGTCTCACCATAATACCTTCTCTCCTCAGGATCTTGGGCATGAACGCACACGCACCCTGCATGTTTCTTAAGGTTTGAACTATAGTTGGCCATGTGAAATTCAGGTCCCTTAACCACTGGGCTAAGGAGCTGGCCCCTGGCTTCTCCTGAACAGAGCATTACAGCTATACCATGGCACTGGCCCAATTTCAAGAATTATTATTATTTTTTCCTTCTTATTCTTCATTTTTATCAGAGAGATGCAGAGAGAGAGAGAGAGAGAGAGAGAGAGAGAGAGAGCAAGCCACCAGGTCCAGGACTTGAACCACAGTCGGTCATGTGGGAGTCCAGCACTCCAATCACCAAGCCACCTGCCGGTCCCGGCAGTTCTTACTTCTGTGGTATTGTTATCCTGGTTTGATGCAGACCCTCTGCAAATTTATAAGGTTTTTATTTTTACTTTTTCCCTGGTGGGTGGGGACAACATATCATACTATGATCCTACCCCCACCTCAGCCAGCCCAGACCATGGGCATGCCTGCCCCCTGTGGACAGAGATCCCCGGATAGGAACCCCATGTGGGTCCAGCATCACAGAACATTGTTAATGCTGCTGCCTCTGCACATTTAAAATCCATTCTAATGACTAAACAGTTCCCAAATGGACTTCATCCTCCCACCTACTCAAGAGTGGGCTCCTTTTCACTACAAATATCATGCCTATTTACCAATGGTTATCATTGGTAAATGATGTTCACACAAAGTTACAGCTTACTTTCCTGTAATTATATCAATCTAGGCCAACACTTACAGAAGGTCAGAGCAAAGATCAGTGTGTAGAAGAACTCCCTGAAGACAGAAAAAAAAAAAAAAAAGCCTATACTACTTTCACATCTCTCAGATATAAACAGCATGCAACCTTTGCCAAGAGTTTTGGCACTCTCCTTCATTTTGGCCTTCTTGTATCCCAGGAGGGATGATACTTCCTGTGGATTTGGAAAGAAAATGTTTGGTCTAAGTGACTAGAAATCTGTAACAGGGGAAAACAAGACCTGATTCTTTTTATTTAACATTTATTTATTTATTTAAATTTTACTAGAGAGGAACAGAGTGAGAGAGAGAAAGAGAGAATGTGAGAAAGCAAGCCACCAGGTCTAGGACTTGAAACATGGTCAGCCATGTGGGAGTCCATCACCCTTAATCAACATGCCACCTGGCAGCCCTGCCTCCTATAGTTTTAAGGAGGAAGGTAGTGTGGACAGAAGTCTGACTGCTTGCTTTTTCCTATTTTTCCAAAATCCTTTCAAGAGGGCCTAGGAGGAGTCACACCCACAAACATTAAGACCATTTTTTCCCCATTTAACAGGATTCTTCCTCAATTCTGTCCTTGGTATAGTATCTTTGAGATGTATATTCAACTGATTACAGTATATTTTGCTAACCTCTTCCCAAGGCACAAAACTTCCCTTTCCTTGAGATATAGACTAAGTATTTCCTTGCAAATCTCTTCCCAGGACACAGATCTTCCCTCCCAATCACCAGCCTTGGAATTGTGAAACTCATCTATAACCTACAAGCCTCCCACCCCCAACATGCTCTGCCTCTTTGGGCCAGACCAATGGAAATCTCTTCACTAATTTTGCCTGTAAATCTCAAAATCAAATAAAAGGAACCCCTGTCCATAATCACCCCGAGAAAGGCATGTATGCCTGTTCTCTAGGCCTAGGTCACTCATATTGGGCTTGAAAATAAACTGCATTAATTATTAATTTTTACAGTTGGTTATTTTTCTGTCAATAGTATAAAGAGATGAAGCTGATA